ACTGGTCCTTGTTCTGGAAGAAAATGCTGGTTGGTTGGTTTTCAGTGGACACACAGGCTCAGATTGCTTCAGCATCTTCTGACATTACTGCAGGTCCCTGAATTTACCTGTGATTAGAGAAGGCAAATCCTTCCTAGTTTCAGCTACTGTCCCCAAATAGGTGCCTGAGGTTTCCCATGAATACCTGCTGCTTGCTTTGTTCTGCTGTGCTCAAGTCCATCAGGAAAGTTGTTTTGCTCCATTTCTCCTACACAGGTGTGAATACAACACAGGCTAATGGCTACTGGGGGTTTGTTCTCATCCACTTGTATTTTGGGTTCATGGGGTATCTTGTCACTTCATTTTCTTGTAAATGTTGCTCATGAGCTTTTGGGTTTTCTATGTAATTGCCCTGTCTATTGTATAGAGACTCAGGGAGGTTCAGACATTGCAGTACCACCATAATATTGCAAGTATGATCATACCATAATCTATTCAACCACTCCTTTGTGGATAATGAGTCAGGTATGTCCTTGGAGACCATCCTATGAACAACATCCTTGTGCATTTCTCTTTACATACTGGTGCTTCTAGTTCTATATTACAGAGCTCCAAAAAGATATGTTTTACCTCTCTGTAGATTTTACCAACTTACTCTCTAAACCAATGCAGCAATTCACTCCAAACAGCAAGTAAGTCAGAGCTCACTTCTCAGTGGTATCAGAGTTGGGTATTAGTGTTTGCCACTCTGATAGGTTAAAATGATATTTTGCTATTTCATTTTGTCTTTACCAGCCTATTAGTGTATATGACCATTTTTTCCTAATATTCCCCTCATCAACTGTATTTTGACTTTATGGTATCTTTTGTTGCACAGAAATATTTAATTTTTAGTTAGAACAGTTGTCAGTCTTCTACTTATGCTTTCTGGGATCCTCATTTCATTAAAAGTTATAATCTCACCACATATTGTCCTCATTTAAATTTTTTGTCATTTTGTGTTATTGCTTAGATTTTAAATTCATTTGGATTTATTTTTTTATAGGGGAAGGAGTAGTTTAATGCTCTTTCTACTATATCTTGGGCAATTTGCTTGAATTCTCTGAGCTTCACTTTCTTCATCTGTAAAGTGGGTATAGTAATACCTAGGGATTATTATAGGGATGCTTTAAGGATAAAAATAAAATAACCTAAACAAATGCATATTACATTTCTAGGCACATGGTAGGTACTTCATAAATAGTGGATATTAATTTGTGAGACAATGTAGGGGAAGAAGGAGACAAAGTATTCCAATTCTGTAAGACTGAGTTTCATATATTAAAAAATGATCTTTCTAATAGTTGATATGAAATTAATGAGAAAATGCACAGCTTCTAGCTTGTAGCAGATAAACAATACATGGTAACTATTCCATAGTTATAATTTCTATTACTACTACTACTATTAACAATTTATTGCCACCAGTACACCAATACCTGCAGGCATTGAAGAAACTAACCAGTTAGGAGTTAAGAAACTTGTTTTTTCTAGCTTCTTTCTGACTAGCTTTGTACTCATAGACACTTACTTCATCTGTGTTTTCAGTTCTTTGCATATATGCAGTGAAGGGGATAGTCTATGTCAAAAGTCATGGCTAAACTGCTGGTATTACTATTGAGTATAATAACCACCTATTACATTCACTTTTAAAAGTGATGTAGAAACCCAATCTATTGCCCGATAAAATATGTGGGTGTCTACGATTCCAGATGAAGATATTTAAGATTTGCACTTGAAATAAATTAAGGCAAAAATTAAGCTAATTTGGAAATGACAGTTATTATACCAAATATTTTAAAAAATGACTTTCTAAATTTTTTTCTTCTGAAGTTTAACTTTAAAAACATTTTTATTAGATGTATCTACAGTAAAAATATAGAAAGGGAAAAAACACATGAATAAAAACATTTCTCTATCATGCAAAGCAAAGCATGATAGAGACAAAATCTGTTTTTAGGTATATTTTACTTCTATCAGGTATAAATTGAAGAAACAAACAATTTAGTTATTTAGTTAGACCAATTTCTTGGCTTACATTTTACTTTGATCTTTCTAGGAGCCTTTGATGAATAATGTATCAAGTTTGAAAAGGGAATAGGATATAATGCATTTAAATTCCATACTATTAGAGCTGCTACTAATAATCTATAAGAGAGAGTATCTCCAACATCACAAAACTAACCACTTTTGATAAGTAGCGTATATGTGGTAGCATTGCTTTGAAAAAGAAACTCTTCCCCTTTCAATAATGACAAAGTGGTACTGCAGTAGAAAGCTTGAAATTATCCTTAAAGATACCGTGTTACATGAAAATTGAACATGGAACTAGAAAAATGATATATCATTAGGAATCCATTTAGGATGGCTATTCTTTCTGTATTTTACTTGAGACAAATGATCACACCACTGAATTGCAGAGCTTGACCTGCCCTGGCATCAAGGCCTACGTGCCACCTCTTCAGGGATTTGTTGATATCTTACTAAATGGTCACTAGGACGTGATATTATTTCAAGGAAGGTCAGATCTGTGGCACTGGAACCAAAAGCAGACAGCTGTGTAGACACAATATCCTGACGGAGGAAGTGACATGGTTTCCTATCTTAAACATGTAAAATTATGAAAGCAGTGAATGTGTATAAACATTTTCCAGCAAAGATTTTTAAACCTCCTGACGTATTCTCCATGTATGACAGTTGGACTTAGAGACTTTACAACTCCAGGTTATGTGTACATGAGGCTGTCCAGAATAAAGATAAGCCTAAAGAATATTAATAAGTTAAATATCATATTGTTTATTGTGAAAAAGTAAGGATGAAACAAGCCCAAATTTCACCAACTATTGCCCTAAGCCTAGGGACAGTGAGCTTCCTTGGAGAGCATTAGCTAGCACAGAGAGGTATGCATGCTCTTGGATTTCTTTAAAGTAAGGAAATGTTCAGTGAGCAAATACTGGAATCCCACCTGCCAGTTTTCCTTGACTCCTACCCACCCTGCCCTCCTCTTGGAGCCTTGCTAAGGTCCCTGCCTTTGCTCTTCAAGAATCCAGGTAGAACAGGGAGCTCCATTTTTTTTTTTTGGTGATTTAAAAGATTGATATATAGTTGATATACAATTTTGTATTGGCTTCAGGTGTACCACATAGTGATTCAACGATTATATATGTTATAAAATGTGGAGCTCTATTTTGATGGTTGGGACAAAGTAGAGCAGTGGCCCTATTTCAGGGCTTCCTTCTGACAGATTAGAGGTGCTTAAGCCTGCCAATCAGCTTCACTGTTCAGCCTACACCACTACCACTACCATGCTAACCAACACCCCCCTCACGCCCCTCACCACCAGCACCATTATTACCAAAATCACCACCGCTACCATCACCATTCGCAGCAACATCAGTCACATTAAGTCTCACCTTAATGATCACAATGTCTTCCAAACTAGCTTTTCTGCTTCTAATCTCTTATCCTCTCCAATCTTTCCTACATTTTTTTGCCAGATTAAATCATCCTACATCAAATTTCTGATCATATCTCTTGCCTGCTTAAAAGCTGAAGTTTCAATTAATGTTTAGTCAATCCCATTCCTAGTGAATAGAGTCCCATCTCCTGGGCCTGGCATGCAAGGCCATGCACACAGAATGTCTCCAGGACAAAATTCAGGACAGATTTCCCACTGCTCCCTCTGCAAGTATTCTGGGCCTCAACCAACCTAGACATTCACTATCCCTTGAATATGCCTTGGGCTAGCAGTTTTTAAAGTTCAGGTCAAATAATACCTATTAGAATCACTTGGAAATTTGTTAAAATGCATATCCTAAAGCCCATGCCTAGAAGCTCTCATTAGAATACTGCATACTTAATACCTTTTTCTCCTTAGGTTTGTGTTTGTGTTGGCAATTTTGTGACCACAGAGAAAGTCCTATTTAACATCTGGCTAGTTACATGTCTTACAGGGTGCTTTATAAACTAATAGGAAAATATAAAGCAGGTAGCATGGTGTTTGGTCCAGTAAAGGTGGCTCTCATCATTAATTCTTGCCCTGCCTACTTCAGAATGTTTTTGTGGTGTTCAAGTAAGTAGTGTCTGTGATAGCACTTCCATGTTTTTCTCCATTAGACTGTAAGTGTTTGGTGGCAGGGATTATGTATTAGTTATCATTAAATAACCTGTGTAATCTGTTGTTTAATAAACATTAGCTGAATTAATAGGTTGGTACTTATTTTCAAAATTGTGGTGGAACCTTAAATTCAGAATCCCTAAACATCATATCAACAAATACCCTTCTGCTCCTCTAGTGGCCCCTGAAATCTACAAGTTCAGGCCCTCCAAGAGTCCCAGGTTCTCTCTGCCCCTGATTACAGGCAGCCCAGCTCTCTCCCACACTCTCTGAGACTTCGATAGGAAAGACTGGAGGAGCTTTAGCTGAATATTTTGGATACAGCATTAAATTAACTAATTGCATTTTCATCCCCCGTCCTGCAGACCAGGTCATAGAAGTGGGCTTCTGTCTCATTACTAAAGCACACTATTCACTAAACTAGGACCCAGTTGAGGTAAATAGGTTGTATTTTGCTTCCAGTACCTGGGTCCCTGGCTTGATGACCTGCTTAATATTTGTACTTTCAAGATTAGACACTACTTTGGTTGTGCCAGTGATGTCTACCCTGTCCTTCTCTCCTTTAAGCATCTTTACAACTGAAGTTTCATCCATCAGCTCCTTAATAATAAATCTGCCTATGCCTACTGACTTCTAATGTTTTTCCACAGACTCCGCCAATATGCTATATCCATCTACAGAGGACCCTTCTCCTGCTGGTAGATGGTTGATACCAGGTGCTTGCTGTGGCTGAGCACATGTAGCACTTAGACTGGACCTCCTACCTGATCCATCAGTGGCTACTTGGCAAGTGGCCACTTCCTTATTTTTCATGCCATTTCCACTAACCCTTGTGAAGTTAATGGTCTGTGACCATGGTGCTTACCTGGCTGATGGTGCTCATAGCTCGCATGTAGCTCTCATTCCTGGAGCGGAACTTTGGTGATGTGAGCAGGCCTGCAGGGTCAAGGCTGTCCAAGCTTCGGTTGATGGAGACTTCACTGACTGCCCTCAGGTAACTGTGACTCCGGATCTGGAGTTTGGGGGAGTGTTCATTAGAAATCCTGGAAAAGAACACCAGAAGGGGTGCCTTTAGTCATATCCCAAAATGTAAGCAGTAATAAGATGTGGCTGTACCCTTACTGATGTGGCACCCAAAATATTGGTGTGAATAATACAGGATCCCTCCTGATTGCTAAACACCCCCATGGTGTCTCAGAAGGAAAAACATGATGACAAGGGAGAGCAATTAAAATTCTCTTCAGCCCATGGAACAATTTTTGCATTTTGGGGAGGGAGAACATAGCTGTGGAATTGTGTCCACTGTAGCTGTAAGCTTTTCCTAGGTACCCAATTCTTTCCTGTGGCTATCTTTTTGTTTTTGGACTTCCTAGCAATGGCAAGTAGGTATATAACTGTAATGATATCAATGTCTCTTTTTCTCTGTCAATCTTTTCTATCATCTATTTGTTTGTCATCTATGTATCTATCATGTATCTTATCTTGACTATGCTGTTTAGTAGAGATTGAACTTAGTGAACAAAACTTAAATTTTAGCCATTAACAATACACACATCTCCAAATCTTTTGTACCCTTTGGACTTTTTTCCAACATGCATTTTAAAATCATAATAGTAGAAAATGCTCATTGTAAAAGGTAAAGTGATAAGAAAGTGCATAAAGGAGAAAGTGTATCTCCTTCCTTCTGTACCTCATTCCTGCTCCAGAATTTCACACCCCAAAAAAATTACCCCATATCAATCTGGCGGATATCCTTCCTCCCTTCCTAGACACAGGCAAACTGTTTTTAGTAATTTTTAAAGTTTGTTTTCACATGGGATTCAGGATGATTTTTCTTTCATTATTTCAATTTCTTTTATTTTTGTTATATATTGTTTACAATTAGAAATTAAAGTTGATAAGAAGAGAGGTATATGCCCAATATAGCTGTCATTATTTACCATTATTTACCCCTATTTACCATTATTCTGAACATCACAGTGAAATTAGAAAAAAAAAAAGGGAATAGAGAGTATAAATATTGCGAAGGAAGTGATAAACTTTGAGTATTTAGAGATTATGTAATTATTTGGAAGATAAAAGAAAACTGAAAAACTATTAGAACTAAGATAGTTAGATATAGGGTAAAAAGACATAAATTAATAGCTTTCCCATATTCTGTCACAACCAAATATAAATCTTAATTTAGGATCATTCAAAATGTCAAAACATTATAAAATGAGTAGAAATTACAAAAAAGAAATGCAACAGAATTTTATGAAGACAATTATAAAACTTTATGGAAGGCAATAAACAATGCCTAAATAAATGTAAAAGAACACAATTTTCCTTGGTAGCAATACTCAATACTGTAAAAAAATAAAATTTTCTGTAACTTAATCTTTAAATATCATGCAATTACAATGAAAATTCCTGAATAATATTTTATTGGAATGTAACAAATTTATTTTAAAGTTGATATGAGGTTCATAGCAGCAGTATTCATAATAGTCAAAAGGTAGAGACAACTCAAATGTCTATCAACTGATGAATGGGTAAGTAAAATGTGGTCTGTCCATACAGTGGAATATTATTTGGCTATAAAAAAGAATGAAGTACTGATATATGCCACCACATGGCTGAACTTTGAAAACACCATGGTAAGTGAAAGAAGTCAGTTACAAGCAACCACAGAATGTATGATTCCACTTATATGAAATGTCCAGAACAGACAAATCTTCAAAGACAGAAAGTAGATTAATGGTTGCCTACAATTTGGTGGTGGGGATGGGAGTGCAGTAAGAGGAGGAAGGTGGCAGGATTTGGGGGTAATAAATAAAAAGTATGGCCTTTTTTTCTGGGGTGATGAAAATGTTCTAAAATTGATTGTGGTGATGGCTGCACAATTCTGTGAATACACTAAAAAGCATTGACTTGCATACTTTAAATTGGTACATTATACGGTATGTGCATTATATCTCAATAAAGCTGTTTTAAAAATTATATGAAGACAAAATAATCAGATTTTCTTATGAAGGGATTAAACAATAGATTATAATGGACAAAACTAGAGAAGGAAAACTAGTCAAGGTGGTTGCAATATTGCAATAATTTAAACAAATGCTAGGACTGAGTTAACTACTGGTAGAACTTGAGAAAAGCAGATAAGTTTGAGAAACCACATGAAAATTAAATCTGGAAGATGAGGAAGAGGAAGGGGTTTAAGAGCAGCCAGAATATAAAAATAAATTTAAAAGGAGATAAATATCTTATCAGATTTCAAATATACTTTATAGTTACAAAGATGAAGACAGTGTGGTATTAGTGATAGAATAGACAAATCAGTGGGATATAGAGACTCCAGAAACAGAACTGAGTATGTATTTGAATTTAGTATATTGCAAAGATGGCTATTCTAATAAGTGGGGAAGAGAGCAACTGTTTAATGAGTTGTGCATCCATTTGCAGAAAAAATAAATTCTTACTATCCATGGGCATTAAAAAGATTAAAAATAAAAATATTTACAAGTTTAAAGTAGTCTAGTATGTTCTATAAATGTATTTTATAATTTTAATTTCTATACTTAAAATTTTAAAAAATTACCAGAATTTTATGGAAAAAAATGATTAAACCTTATGGAAAGCAATAAAGAAGGCCTAAAGAAATGCAAAAGAGAACAGTGGAGAAAGACTTTAGAAGCATGATGGCGAACCAAAAAGCCTTAAAAAAATGGACAAATAGAACTACATACAAATTTAAAACTTTTGGTCTACAAAAGACTGTAAATAGTTAAGAAAAATGGTCATTGGGTAGGGAACATATTTGCACCACCGCACAATATAACAAAAAGAGTTCATATCCATAATATTTAACTTGAACTTAGGAATGAATGAGAAAATAATGCAAACTCAAAAAAAATTGGAGAGTGTAATTACATAAAAAATTCACATCAGATCCATGTACATCCACGTTCATGACTGCAGACAGTAAAGATGTTCTCCACATTCCAAATGTCCTCTTAGCAATGTATAAGACTGTACTCATTCTGGAAGCTTGCATAGAATTACTTAAATATAGTAGGCAAAAATGATAGACTTAGTAATGCTAAAACCCGAGAATTTGTTTAACAGCCACTTTTTGCAACTCTAATGAAAAAGGAACCAAATTAAAACATCCAAGGCAAACCTTATACATTTAATTATTACAAAAGAGAAACTGATTGTTCTGAAAATGTTCCCTAACTGTCAAACATGAAATATTTGCTCTGCCAACTCCAGCAAATATTTTCATGTTCTATGTGCCATTATAGTGACTCACAATGGGTCACTTTATAAATGCTCATACCAAAAATTCCAACCAACAAACAAATAAACTGAAGAATTTATTTTCCTTTTAAGATCTCTTCTAGGAAAAAAGAGCCTTAGCTAGAAGCATTTATAACTTTCAGTTCACTTCCGCTTAGAACCTGAGAGTTAGTTAGATGACAAATGTATTTCTTTGGCTATTTTGCAAGTTGATCCAGAGCAATGATATTGCCAACATAAATGATGCTTCTATTCCAAATGGTTTTCAGGGCAGCAATGGGAGTGGTCCTCTTTCATAAATGGTATATAGTCAAAGAGAGAAGTGAAAGTTCAGTGTTTTGAAAAATGAATGTTGGCTGAGATGGGGAAATGAGTCATCATTGCAACAATCATTCACCCTGGCCACTTATTATGAAATAAGATATAGTCACCAAATTTCAAAGTGAAAAATCATTCAGAAAGGATTGACTAGTTCTACTTTGGTGAGTCATTCGTGATAAAACAACACATACTTTAACAACACACTAAATATAAGGAAATGAACTCTTTCATCTTGTTCTCTTAGAGAGCAGAGCCCACAGCTATCAGTATAAAGGGTACAGTATGTACGTGTGCTCCTGATGCAGAAATGCTCCTTACATAGAGAACAAAAAATAGTGCATTGGTTACTTTATCTTCCCCTCAAGAGAAAGTTGATTTGCTAAGAAGGAAGGGAGTGTGTACATTCAGAAATATTAGTTCTCATGTTGGCCTATTCAGATGACATTCATCATTTCCTACTTTTTCTTCGTAAATTATTTATGCTAAGTTAACCTTTCATAGCTTATCAGAACTGAACTGAAATTTTGGCCTTGTGGAGCCTTCTTCATTATCATGCCCTTTAAGTGCATCCAAAGACACGAACCTTTAGGTTGTTGTGAGGCAGCTACACAAACAAGCTTGGACCAGCATATCAATAAGGTTGTCATTGCAAAGAAGAGAAAATGCAATAATACTCAGATTGTAAATTTTAAACCAGTGTCCCCAAGGAGAAAAATGATTAACTTTGTAATCTATTACTAAAAAAAATATAACTTCATAAGATGAATAAACTCTGGGGATCTAATATACAGCATGGTGACTGTAGTTGATTATGCTGTGTTGTATACTTGAAATATGCTGATCTTTTCATTAAAATTTTTTTAAAATTGACATATAACATTATATTAGTTTCTGGTGTTTAACATAATGATTTTGATATTTGTATATATTACTAAATGGTCACCAGAGGAAGTGTAGTTAACATTTATCACCATACAAATTTAGTTGATTATCACTCTAGACCTGAAATAATTTTCTAAATTGCAAAATTTGCTTTTCTCACTTATGGTTAAAGACCCTATAAAGGAGTTTTTAAAAGCCTCATTGTGATATAATTCATACACAATAAAATTCACCATTTTAAAGTGCACAATTCCATGGTTTTTAGTATAGTCACAGAATTGCACCCATAACCACATTATGCATTCTGAGGAATAGAAGGAAAAAGAATGAATAAAAATGAAGAGAGCTTGAAAGAACTTATGGGACACCATCAAACACACATGTAATTGGAATTCTAAAGGAGAGGTAGAAAATGTAGTTGAAGAAATAATGGTCAAAACTCTCAAATTTGACAAAAAGTTTAATCTACATATCCAAGAAACTTAAAATCTCCAAATACTATAAACTCAATGAAATCTACACTTAGCCATATCCTTGTCAAAGTGTCAAAAGTCAA